ATAAAATATGGGTGCTAGGTATCTGGAGTGGGACACCTCACAAACAGATTGACACAGTTTTGGCAGTAGTAGTACATAGCTGTCTCTACTCAGCTGCTCCCCTTCTCTCACAGAAAGATAAAAACAGTAGATGCAGTTCCTGGCATGCACTTTTAACAGGAAACTCACGAGATATCATTCTGCTACTGGAGCAGAATTTTCAGTACATTATTTCTTTTCTTATGGAAAGGTAGCTATCAGGAGAATCCTGTCAGATAGTCATTGTAACATGAACCTACAGAATGTGAATTTTTTGTTTCCATGCTGAGCGTAGGGCTGCTTGTAACTAGTTTATGAGATAAATTAGGCCAGCAGAAAGGCAGTAGAATGAGTAGATCACAGGAATGGTGCTTCATTTGGAAATAGAGATCCCAAAACTGATTTCAGCCACCTCTCTTTGCCTTCTAGTCCACAGTGCTCTTTGTAGTAAACGTTGTCTGATGCTGTTGGTTCCCCTTCCGCCCTCCTTCAGTAGATTTGGAGATATCTATTGCCATACTTTACTTTTTAGTTTATAGTCTCTTATTCCGATTTACTTCAGAAGTGAGTCCACTATGGATGGAACAGCATCAAGGATGAAGTCCATACTGATGCTATTCAGTGGCATGTCATTGTCAAGAGACTCTAATGATCTGATTTACAGTTTTTGAGGCATTAAAAAAAATGTTTCATGACTGTTTTGTCAGCTTGTTTCAAACAATATGAGTAATTAACATTAAATTAATATGTTTATAAACACAACCCTTTTACACCAAAGTCTGTTTGGAATACAGCTCAGTTTATGATCCAGCAATCAGCTGATTGATCCCTAGCCTGTTTCCTTGTTGGAAAATGTATAGCTATATCATAAATGAGCCAAACAGTTTTTGAAAATGTAATGTATTTTCAAGGGATTTGAAGGGGACATTAGCTGCTCCTCTGCAAAGTGATGACTTTCAACAAGTGGAGATAATGATGCCTGTGTTATAGTGTGGAAATTAAAGTTTGAAGCAATTGGTACTACGTCCATCAGCGAGGAAATACCAATCTGAACTTTCAGTCCTTCAGGGTAAGTTAATTTGCTCAAGCAGTCCTAGTAAGAGTACATGCTTTGGTAAAGCTGCTCAAAAGTTATGCAGCACAGTGTTCTCTTGTTTTACCTTTACCCTGTTCTCAAACCTGCGTAAAACCTTGGGGGTGAAGGGCTGCTGAAATCTTAATGTGGCATCTTGTGCATACTGCACACCCAGCGCAGCTGAACAATCAGGCCAGAAGTTTTGTCTATAAATCAGGTGTTCCCTAATGGGTTTGTTATCAGGATCAGTGAAAAATGTAACTGTTTAACTTAAAATGTGATTAAAAAGACTATAATACCTAACCTGAGAAGGCAACCTTCAAGAGCTTGTTAGAACAACTATTTCAGAGCTGACTATGTAAACAAGGGTTAGAAGAGTGGAATGAACAGAGACAGGCAGGGCAGTGTGTGACATACCCCCTTGCTGGCTGGATGTGCTTTCCTGTGTCTTCTAGTAATTCTCTGGCTCTTCTTCAATTGGAGATGTTTGGATCTCAGAATTCCCTTCCCAGAATTTATTTGTTGGCACTGTATTTTGTGTGAAAGCAGAATTTTCCATACCCTTGCATACTTAACCAAAGAGAGGTAGTGCTGTTTTCTGGTCTCTTCATTGTAGCTATTCTCTGGAGTTAAGGGAACATAAATAATATAACTCACAAGTATGATGGATAAAATTTATAGCCATTAGAGAAAGGCAGAAGCCTCTCTTAATACTCCACTACTTGGAAACTGTGCTGGTCTCAGCCTGGTATTTGAGTAAAAGTGCTAGAGGGCAGAGAGGAAAAAATAGCAAGGAATTTCTTTTCTTTCTGTAGAAAACACGGTGCTGTCCATGCATCCCTTTCTAGAGATGACCTGTAGGATTTACAGTCTACCCACTTTCAACAAACCAGTAATTTCTGTTTATCTAGCAACACCCTGTCTAGCCACTGACTTGCAGCTGAGCAAATCCACACAACCCAACTGTGAATCTGAAGAACCTAATGTAAAATCTGAACTATAATGTCCCAAGAATTAGAAGCAACTGTTGTCTGCCTGCAGCATAATATGAGGTTATAATAGCAGCTGTAAATAATTCTAGAGAAAGCTGCACAGAATCAAATAGCTTTCGATCAGGTCCTAACAGTTTCATCTTCTTTGTTAAAGACATGTTGGGTAAATTAAACTTTAAATGTATGACCGAACCTTTTTTCCATGGATAGCAGTGTCAATTTTAATGTTGAAATTACAATGACCATAGTCAGGTCAATGGTGATGTTGACTTAAAAATACTGGTATAAAACATCACTCATGTTAAAAAAATAAAATAAAATAAATAAAAACACCCAACCAAAACCCACACAAAGTTAATGTTTATAGACACTTAAGAGAATTAGGATAATTGGATTGAATGAAACCTCTCTAAAGCCTGCATTTTCACTAAACATTTATTATCTTACTTATAACAATGTTAAAATAATCCATTGATTTTGACAAAATTTGTAAGATTCTTTAAGCTTCAGATGCTTAAAATCTAATATTTCTCTTTCATAGACAGTCAAACAGTGATTGACTAGATAATAAAGGATAAATGGGGACTAGTAATTACATGGCATCTTTTGACAGACATTCTTAATAGAGGTCCTTGAATTCTCATTTAAGAACTGTAGATAAGCTTTCATTTTACATCAGTATCTGAAGAAAATCATACCAGTCTTTTTTTCTTTTTTTTTTTTAAATCTATTTTTTTAAGGCAAACGATGAGGTATTGTGAGAAATGCAGAACTCCGCCAGAAATACAGCCTCTATCATTGTGCACTGAATTTTATCATCAACCTATGAAACTTTAATAGCTGGTAAAAATGTAAAGAAAAACGTGCAAAGCAGTACAGAAAAATTATTTGTTTAAAAACAGGTAACAAAATTTCACAATCTGATTTACAGTTTAAAATCTAATTTCTGTGGGGTTTGTTAGCTTTAGCTTTGGTCTTAACTTACTGTTCTGTCAGTGTGCATTATAGTTCACCAGCCCTTTTTGAAAGATCTGTCATGTTGTAACAAAAGAGGCTGCTTTAGAATAATTCAGTAAGTGAACTGAAGCACCCTTGATTTTGGCCTGTAATGAGTAATAAAAATGACTTAGATTAGGAGCAAAGCTGTCTGTCTAAGCAACCATATTAACTTAAAATGTTCTCAAGTCATATAGGATTGTGAGAATGCCAAGTGTTTGGCTTAGTAAATTTGCTTGAAAAGAATTCTTTTGGGGAGAGGAAGAAAGAGGTAGTACAGGTCTTGCTGAAACAGCTGCATATGAAAGGGTGATCTTTGGATTAGAAAGTAAATGAGAAGAATTCACAGGAATTTAAGAAAAATTTTTGAACCATATTGTAAGGGAGGCAAGGATTAAGAGCTTATAGGGGAAGAGAAAAACAGAAGGGGTGCATAAAACTCACAGCTCTATAGAGAAACACATAATCCCTTTTCTGTGTGTTCAAGGGTAGATTCAGTTTACTTTCACTGTTTTGTTTTGCACTGTTGAATGCAAGGGAATAGCAGAGTAAACATGAACAAAACCACTATGCATTTAAACTAAATGTTAGTTACTTCTGTAGTTGAAAAGGTTCCTATATAAGTAAAAATAGCACGGCCTTTCTTTTTTAATTTCCCTCTCTGAGGCTATGCATCACTAAATCATGCAGATGAATCCCTGAAAAAGTCTTGTATTCAAACTGTAACAGTCAGATGCAAGGTTAGTAATGGCATATGCAATTCAGTATTTCTGCAAAATAGTAGTAAACATAAATGTTATTCCCTTATTGTACAGTTATCAGAAAGGTTATTTTTTCTGCTGAAATGCTTTTGGAAACATCAGTCTCTGCTGGTATGAAGAAATGCAATCCTGTTCAATAGGTAACAGTACATTCTAGAAGTACTGACCGGAAACTGCTTTGGTGATTTAAAATCTGAAAGAGTCTGACAGTTGAACTGATACTGTGGCCAGTATTTTTTTTTTCTGTCAATCTGTTTTTGTTAGAAAATTGTACTTTTTTATTAAATTGGGATGTAAAAGAGCCAGCAAAATTTTATAAGTAAAATTTCTAATGCTTAAAACAGAGGAATTGCTGAAAAAGGTACCAGATAGAATCATGAAAATTCTAGTCACAGACCATATGTTTCCATTTAGTTCTAGGAGACAGAGTTTGTCCAACCAAGGCTTCTTGGGGCATACGAGTCAACATTAAAAGGGAAGAAAACTGCATTTAAATGACTTCTTACAGGATCTAGGTGATGATGAAGTAGTCTAAAATTACCCCGTGTGCTGAAAAGCATTTTGAATATTGCAATGCCATATATCTAGTACTGAGAACAGCCCCCAGTTTTAAAAAGATAATTACAATTGGACTAGTCACCTGTACAAACAAAAAAATGGATGCCCAAATTTCTCCGTTCTTTAAACTAAATAGGACAACAGAAAAAAGTCATTATCTTTCTAGTTATGTCAGATTTTTAACGAGGCAGAAAATAAATTATGTCATTGCTCATGTCTGTGGGCTAGGCTGCAGTTTATACAGTCCCTTTGCAAACAATCCACATGGATCCAGTCTCTTATACCACTTCTCTCTGATTTACTGGAGCTCTTTGATTTCCTTAACTTCACAGCATTTTTGTACTGAAAACTAGCATAAATTGTTATTTCCTTACCCTTCATCTCCTCAACTAACATTTTAGGTCTCTTGGGAAGAACAGGTTCTTGTATTTTTTGCTTATCCAGAAAATTGTTACTGTTTTCTTGGCAAAATCTCCCCTAATGAAAACATAAGCCACTTCCTTTGCATTAATAATGAAGACCATCCCAGATACATTCCAGTACCTCTGAGCATCCCTTACACCATTTGAAGACACAAAGTCAGTTATTTCTGTGTCATACCTGTTTAGTTCTCATTTTGGAATCTGGCGACAGATTGTTGTAGGTATAATGTGCCTGTGTGACTCCACAGAAAAGGACTGCAACAATACCTAAATTCGGAGAGAAAACCAGAGTTAGCTGCTTCTGTTTTCTTAAGTTTTCCAAAAGGCTGCATAAAAAAGTTAATTAGATTGTTAGTAGCATTTTATAAGAAAAGAACTTTAAGATATAGAATCATAGAATAGTTAGGGTTGGAAAGGACCTTAAGATCATCTAGTTCCAACCCCCCTGCCGTGGGCAGTGACACCTCCCACTAAACCATCTCACCCAAGACTCTGTCCAACCTGGCCTTGAACACCGCCAGGGATGGAGCATTCACAACTTCCCTGGGCAATCCATTCCAGTGCCTCACCACCCTTACAGTAAAGAACTTCTTCCTTATATCCAATCTAAACTTCCCCTGTTTCAGTTTGAACCCATCACCCCTTGTCCTATCACTACAGTCCCTAATGAAGAGTCCCTCCCCAGCACCCTTATAGGCCCCCTTCAGATACTGGAAGGCTGCTATGAGGTCCCCACGCAGCCTTCTCTCCTCCAGGCTGAACAGCCCCAACTTTCTCAGCCTGTCTTCATACAGGAGGTGCTCCAGTCCCCTGATCATCCTCATGGCCCTCCTCTGGACTTGTTCCAACAGTTCCATGTCCTTTTTATGTTGAGGACACCAGAACTGCACACAATACTCCAGGTGAGGTCTCATGAGAGCAGAGTAGAGGGGCAGGATCACCTCCTTCAACCTGCTGGTCACGCTCCTTTTGATTCAGCCCAGGATACGGTTGGCTTTCTGGGCTGTGAGCACACACTGACTGCTCATGTTCATTTTCTCATCGACCAACACCCCCAAGTCTTTCTCCGCAGGGCTGCTCTGAATCACTTTTCTGCCCAACCTGTAGCTGTGCCTGGGATTGCTCTGACCCAGGTGCAGGACCTTGCACTTGGCATGGTTTTATAAGGCAACTTTCAAACAAACTAGATTTTTGTTTTCTTTGCTAAAAGTCAGGAAGGTCTTGAGTCTTCTACGTGGTCCATCACACATTCCACTGCTATGTATTTGGCTAAAACTGTAGAAAATTTCTTTTAATTAATACATGGTAGCATCTGACCATAATCTGACAGTTAGGCAAGGCTAACATAATCATAACATGAAGGACTTTTGGAAAATTTTGGCAGAGACTGGTAAGCCAAAAATAATTTTCTTACATTTAAAAAAAATGTAATGTTGGTCCAAAATGGCTGAAATCAGGGAGTCATTTCAGTCTGTGCCTGTTTTTTAGCCTTATCATAAACTGTGTGTAACAGTGTGCAAGGCAGACAACACAACATTGCTCATAAAGTGATACTATGGCAAGTGTGAGATACTTTGCACAGAATGACTAGGTCAATTTCTGTAGCCATGTGGCAGTAATTATACTTCCCAGCTTCTAGAAGGTCTTAAGGAGAAGGGCAGCAGGTTTGTCAGGAAAAATGACTCTGTATTGTAGTGATATTTCTTACTTTTTAAAACTTCCTCTCTGGCCCTGGTTCTAATTCACTAGAATCATTGAGTAACGTCACTGTAATGCAGTATTATAATTAAAGTAGCTGATAAGAGTATAACTGCAATTTTGTGTGAGCTCCAGACACTGGTAAGGCAGAAGGAACCCACACAGGGAGAAAATAGAAAACAAACAAGCAAAATGTATCACCAGTAATCATACATAAATGCCCATGGAGAAAGAAAGCTCTATGCTTTCCTTAAACTTGGGGCATGTCTACATAGACAATTATTTACGCAACAGCTCAGGGCTTCTTCGTGTCCATTCCAATCATCATTCCCCTGGAAACCTCCGCATGCATTTCCTGAAGCATGTGGAGCATGCAAGTTCTGCTCAGTTTCTGTCTAGTTTTGCAAAAAGAGCACAAGAGCAATGACTGGTTTTATGCAAAGCCAGACTGCAGTGTGATCACTGCACACCTGTGATCTCTGGGGTTCACATATAGCCAGTTTTCTGCCATCCATCCCACAGTGCTTTAGTTCTTGTGCCTTTCAGCCCTTCTATTCACTGCTTCCCCTCTGAGCCCTAATTAGCATTTTAGTTCTGCTTCCTCATGGGCTGCTCTGTAAATTGTTAGGAAATATTTAGCTCCTAGGCTTCTCACTTGTACTGAGATAACACTGATGAATCCAAGGAAACACACTGAGGCGATAAAGAAAGCAAAAAGATACCCATCCGGGTTTAGGCAATATCCATCCTTGTAATATGCAGCAGCTTTCTAGGCATTTATTGGGTTAAATTAGCATGAACCAAACCATATAAACCAGTACTGAAAGCAAAAAGCATGAATTACAATTGTGAAAATAATCCCAGTCTGTGCCTTCAGTCCTGGACTTGAAATTGGGTAAGGCTTCCTCCATCTGCTCCAGGATGGTGACTCTCCTGAATTTACAAAGGCTGTCAAGAAGAGGCTCAGTGAGGGGGCAGAATCTACAGTGCTGCAGGCTTTAGCATAGCAAACCTGATATAAAACAATTTGCTACTTCAAAAGGATTAATAGAAGCAGGCCAGGCTTCACATGGTCACAGGAAAAGATGGATGGTAATGTGCTGAGCAAGTATCAGGGGAAAGTACTGGTGCCTCAGTAAGTTCTTTAGCAGGTTTATCCTCCTCCCCTAAAGCATTGTACAGATAAGGAAACATGGCAAAGGAAAAATTTAGACAATGCTGAAACTACTTCATTGGGGGGAGTGTGTGAATGTGTGTGTGTGTACTACACATTGCCACATACCAGTTAAAGTAATTAGTACCTTACCATGCTTTTCTTATATTTCTCTCTTTGGATTGCTAATCATGAAAGTATTGTCCAATAAAATCCAACTTCCTTTACTTGCAAGCCCCTCTTGTTTCTGGGAAGAACTGAAGCCTGGCACAATATGCCTTTGATGGAAGAAAAAAGTATGGAATAAAAAATTCCGAGATGAATTTGGCACAAGGGATAACTGCCATCAGAAAGAAAATGAGAAAGCAAATCTGTTTTTTCCCCCCACAAACCACAATGGACATCTTTGCTTCTGGGTTCTCTTTATATTGTAAATTTACCTGTACTACTTCTACAGAACACAGTCTCTGTAGCCAAGAGAAATTCCACTGAGCTTTAACTTCTGTGCCTTTGTTGTTTAATGTTTATTTTCTTATGTCTGTTTTGATATTTATTTTTTATAACTACACTAAGACTTTTCTTCACAATGTGGGGAGTAGTGAGATTGTTACTTCCTAAATACATTCCAGGAAGATCATGTTTTTCTGAGGTCTAATTGTTCTCTTCAATGCATCTAAATCTTTTTTCTCAGTAAGTGTATTTGATTGTGCAGAACTGATCTGGGGAGTTTAAAAATTCTCAAGGCATTAATAATGTGCAATGGGATGCTCAAACAATGAAATTTCGGTAAAAAAAATACAGCCAATCAGTAATGTTGCTAAGTATCACTGGGCTCAGTAACACAAATGGAGATAAGAGTTTCTGATTTAGTTTCTCCTAGATGAATCATCATGCCAAGTCTTGCATTTTTAATATTGACTATTAAGTTCCACTATGATTATAAAATGGTTTTTGACTGCTAAGAAACTATTATTTAGAGGTAGTGAGAGAACTGAGTGACATGAAGAATAAAATAGCTTAAATCTAATTTTACAATAGGAATAAATGATCTGAACCATGCAATTATGCAAGTGTAGAAACCAGATACTCTGTTTCCAGGGAAGACTGGGGGAATGCAGTGGAATATTTCATTGGCAGCAGTTGAAGGCTGAATATGCACCAGCCATGCCTCTCACAATGAATGGGTCATTAAAAGGCTTGGAGAAAATTGTTTGTAATGCATTGCCATAAAAATGATTGCTTAAAAGTAATGACCAATTACATGTTAATGCAACAACAAAGGATAGAGAAGTACCTAAAGAGGCAAAACCACAACTTTTTAGTTAGAAGGAAAAAACAACCTGGCTTTCTTCATAAGGCTATCAAAGCTGGATTTTAAAGTTAGCTGGGTATCTAAATATTGTATGAATGGCATATGGCAGATTAATTAGGTAATTAAATTATTGCAGGCTTTCTTTCACAGAGAAACAGGTAAGACCAAACATGATAATATTGAGATTGGAAACAGAAAGTATTTATTAGATGCAGGGAGATGGATAAAGTGAGATGGTCCTTTGACCGGTTCTTATTGCTCAGTGCTATAATTTTGGGATGTGGAGACTTAGCTCACATTTTCAGTGCTGTCACATTGTTTCATTTTTAAGTGGCAAATTTAGCAATTACTAAGATACTTAGTTCTATAATTGCTGATTTATTTAATTACTAACCTAAAATAAGCAGGGAACATTTATAATGGAAATGTGTGATTGCTTGTTAAGTGCAATACAGCTGCTTGTGTTTATTAGTGAAGTTAGTGAATTTTTTCACTAACTCACAATAAAATGATTATAGTCATGATAAACTTTCACCTGCAACTCAAACTCTTTGAAAAGGTTTTATTAGAAATAAAATCCTAACATTATTTTTTTCTTCTTGCAACACAGAGAACTAGTGATAGGTCGTTAATACAACTAGAGAAATTATTCATACGTTACTTTTGCCAAATACTTGTAGTTGAAACTGTTGTTAGAACGAAAGCTTGTAATATCAAAAGATAATATAGGATAAAGGAGTAACTTGTATTTTTAAAAGCATTTTGCTGGCAGTGTGAACATTAGCATGATAGTGTAAACATTAATTTACAAGTGTTAATCTAAAACCAATTCCTATGTTGTCTCCAAAAGACAAATCTTGGTTTGGATAATTTTACAAATAGGCAAAATATAACATACCCTTGCTTTTCAATATCTAGTGCTAAGAGAGAAACTGTAAAAAGGTTTGTTTTTTATCATAGAAGGCCAGCAGGTACTGTGTGCTTTTAATGCAAACCTGGAAGTGGCTGCCCACAATTTAAACTTCAGAATTTGCTAATCTAAGAGAATAAAACTGACATTATGTTTCCAGCTGTCAGGTCTTTTAGTGGTAAAAAAAAAAAACA